AACCGCAGAGTATACCAAGCGGTTCGGTTCAACCGATGGTATTTCGTTGGTATTCTCGTCGGTATTCTCAACAAATGCGTGACATGGGCAAGAAAAACCTGGGTATCATAGCTAACCAAGCAGTAATCAACATGAATGGAAACATGTAAAACTCAAAATCGAGTATCTGGAGCTTGTTTTCCTTCGCCTGACACATGTATGACGTGTACGTCGGATACATAGTAATATGAACTCTGGGCAACCCGAAGACGAAGTTAATATTCAAAAAAGGGCGATCAAATTGAATCCGAGATTAGAGACAACGGAACAGACAGGTTCATTTGTGTCCTTCATGAAATATTTTGAACATGCAAATAAATTACTTACCATTTATAGAAAACAGAGTGAACGTACTCAGTTCGACTTGACTGGCTCTAAATCCAACAGCACACTTTTCTGAGCACCTTGAGGCTGTTTTCTGGAACTAGCATAAATAGAAGATATATACATACTCGCTGTGCTGAATAAACAACATCATCACCAATCACAAATATCTACGTAAAAACCTAAGAAGTAAAAGAAATCACAAAAATATATTCTGTGAAAATGCTCAGAAAAATACGGCAAACATTTTTTTTTGCTGATGTTATGGGAAATTGGATAAATAAGCCTCATTCGTCTCAGTTTTTCATGTAGATGGTGAACATCGTGTTATTTTTGTAGCGAGATGATTTCTGATTGGAAAGTTCAATAAATACTGTTTAAACTGCGGTTGTCTTATTCTATTCTTTAATTTTGAGATCTTAAGTCTTTTCTGTTCCAAAGAGCCATATTGAGAAAAGCAAACAGAATTAAGTACGTAGAAATACTTTCCGTAAAGAGAAGGTTTTGAGACGTGCTAGCACTGCTCAATATTTTGATCATATATAATTACTAAAATTAATCAGTTTCAAACGCAGAAACCATCGAAATTGCTTTGCTAGATTCGGCTTCGTCGCTATGATTTTTATGGATCAAGTTCCTTTCGAGAAGTACTCATACATAAGGAGGGCGGCTTTCACTTACGGTCACAGGAGGTTGACAAAGGGAGTTTCTCCAGGGAAAAAACGAATTATTCGAAAAGACGCCAGTCGCTCGTTTAATGGCATTTCGACTATTAGCTGGATTTATTGCACATTCTATTAACGTGTCGTAGGCTATTCATTCCTTATTGATTCAGAAAATCAAGCACTACTTGTTACTTTAAGCGAAGTTGTCAATAGAAAATTTAAAAAAACAAAGCAACGATGAAATACGATCTTGGACTGAATATAAAGGGAATATGCACGTATTGTTTGTTCTATGATGTTTCAGACTCTGTTTGATGCTTTTCGTTATCTAGTTAGATTCGCCATGGAGAACTTGTTGTTAAATCATCCATACATAGTGCAATTGCACAACAATCGTTAATGAAAAGTCGCTCACAGACAAAAAATAGTTCCCAAAACTAAACCCCATGTATCGCTATATTGTATTGACGTCTTACAAGTAATAGATGATTGCATATGTAGTTCACTAATCTACACAAATATAGATGGAATTCCATTTACTTATTTTTTGTTTTATTTTTCTCATTCTCGATTGTTGGACCTGTATTGGTTCATGAAAATTTTTCTTTCTAGGCTCGTTGTGTAGAACACCGGCAGCTGTACAACATGCGTTTATTTTTCGTGATACGACATTTCTGCGAACGACATTATCGCGGATTTTTTGAAGTACACATTTGGGTATTTTTGGCAGTGCGTGGTACGCGGTCGAGGTGTGGGCAGTGTGAGAACGAGTTCGAAAAGCAGTTTCACACAGAACATATTCTTTTGATGTCGTATGAATTTTCTTGAGCTTTTCAAGTGCTTATCTGATATCTAACTAGTTAAAGATAAGCTGTAATAAAATTTTAATAATGACTAGATCCACCAGTAACACCAGTTGTTTCGTTAGTTTTTTAAAGTTTAGTTTCTTTAAAATCTATTTTCAAAATTTTGTGAAAGAGTCGTGGCGGATCTGTTGTCGCGGTAATGTGGGTTCGCGGAAATGTCGACGTATCCTTTCGCTCTGTCCACACCCCGACCTCTCACCACACACTGCAAGAAGTACCCAAATGTGCACTACGAAAAATTCTATCAGAAGTTCCACCTGTACCGCCTTGTCACGTTTTTATTATTTGAAATATATTCAAACGATTTTAAAATATATGTTACAGACAAAATTAAAATCAACTTAAATTTAAAATCAGCCTAGTAAAAACTAAAGTTTTAAATTTACCTAGTTAAAATTGAAATTCTGATTTTGCCTGGCAAATCTCTAGTCAAAATTAGGATTTGAGTTTTGCCTAGGCCGATTTGGACTACACAAATTCGTAATCTGACTCACACATTTCGATGTAGGGCATATCGTGATGTGTGGGGCGAACGCGAACACCTTTACTTGGTGTTTTCCTCACACGCTACTACGCAACCCATATGCTACGACACGCCGTACATCGAAATCCGTGAGTCGGATTTCGAATTTGTCTAGTCCAAATTGAAATTTTAATTCGATCTAGGCAAAACTCAAATTCTAATTTTGACTAGAGATTTGCCAGGCAAAATCAGAATTTCAATTTCAACTAGGCAAATTTAAAATTTTAGTTTTTACTAGGCAGATTTTAAATTTAACTTAGTTTTAATTTTGCCTGTAACATATGCAAATCAAGGAAAGAACAAATCAAAATGAATAATCACACGTCATTTTCTTCCTCGTTCTTTATTGCCACAATTTATTACAAAAGAAAGGAAAGAAAAAGCGTGAAGCATATCAACCTATACGCGTTTTTTTCTTGAAGTGTTGCCAACCTGGGACTAGTGGGCTTTTGTAGCCCATGGTCGACTGAGTGGATCGGCACTAGTTTGGCTCCGACGTATGGCCGACACTCCAGCAAAAAAAATTAAAATAAAATTTGCAGTGTAATAAAGGAGAATAATAATAAAAATTAAGCGCTGTCGAGTTTCGAACCTCGACACTCGCTTATCGTGAGCGTATAGTGTTAACCTATTTTGCCATCAGCGCATATCAACAGATAAGTATATTTCTCACTTATTCGGTTCTCACTAAAGTAGAAACAGGAAGAAATTATATGTATACTGTTTAAAGCAGCATAACGTAATCTCTTTAAGATCAAATTGCAATCTGTTTTACTCGGCATTTGTCTTCGAGAACAGATCACAGGAAAATAATCAGGCAAGCAAGGGAAGTGACATTTTTGATGGTTTCATATTCTTTCTGCTTGCCTCTCCAATAGTCGAACAAATTTATTTAACTTTATTCAAAAGAAATCAAAAGGAATTCGACCAAAACCTCAACTCGACTACTAAAAGTATAATCACTGTTGAAAGTTATTCATAAAGACAGTGTACACAGTCAGCAGTATTTTGGACTTTACACTGTTCACAAGGAGAAATACACAAATGTCGTGGACATATCAATAAGGTATCTGTGATATTCTGACAAACAAAGTAACTTGAAATAAAATAAAGTTCTCGCTATTCAGCTTTCTTACGCTCAAAATAATTTAAAACTTAGAATTTTTTAGAAGTTATTTTCTCTTCGTGTCTTTCAGCGTAATCAGGATTGTTTAGGCTCCTTTTACTTTTATAAAAATGGCAGTGTGCATTACAGAATGTATATATAGATATCATGCAAGCAAATGAAAAAAGTTAAGAGTGACAATGTGTATACATAACACACATGTCTGTATCAAGTATAAAGAAATATATATATCGAAATTGCATATAGGAATAAATACACGTGCATCTTTAAGACGAAGCAAAACTACACTTTTTTCTTTTTGTACTTATCTATCTTACAATCTTTCTAACTTCATTTGTCAAAAGGCAGAAGGAATTTTAAGTTCAGCATTTTTCGTTTTCGACTGACGATGAGCTATGAATCTGACCTATATCGTCTGTTCCAAGTATAGACGTTGGAAACCGAAAACAATATGAACGCATTTCTCTTACAATAAAATTTTTTAGACTTGAATACACATGTTTTACTCGGTCTTTTCGTCGAAAACACGGTGCAGTTAGTTTCTGAGGCTTTCCTTGACCATCCAGCACTCTCACCATGCCCTAACCTTTATATTATAATCAGTTTCTGAGAAAGAAGACTCAAAGACATGCTCGTATAAAAAGAGAGTTCAAATAATTTCACAAAGGAACAAAAAAATCCATCAAACAATATCTTAGCGTCGATGAATTCTTCCGCAGCGGTTTCTATATAAAGAAAGAATGATAAACAAAAACTTTTAATACGAAAGAATCTTAAAAACAAAGTGTTTCTTAAGGTAGATGAGACACTGATTCCACCATGTTTTACTCGGTTTTCTCTTCGGGAACATAATGCAATCAAAGTGGAACCTCGGATTCGCTTCGAGGTTAAAAACAGCAGTTTTATCTGTAAACAGGCTCTTTCTTTCTCTACTCGTCACAGGAATCATGTTAACGGTTATAGAAAAATTTTGATTGGTATTTTTATTTTTTATTTTATATCCCTATTCTCTCACTCACTGAAACTGCTGTATACACTGCCCCAAAAAAATATGCTTTTAGCGTCGTAACCCTACGTTTCAAAGCTTCGGGTCACAACTTTCGATGTCCATGGATAACATGTGTGACATGACGCCTGAAACGTAGAGTTATTACGTTTGGATGATAAAAATTAACGTTGTTGTTATAAGGGTCAAAAATCCGGACGGTTAAAGCATCAGATTATGAAATCACTCTTACGTTTTAAACGACGGCGCTTTTAACCCTAACGTTTGTGGTGTCTGGAATTTTCGATCCGACGTCCGTTTCTTTGTATCGCTTCCTGAAATGAATAGAAAATTCCTGTATCTATAAAAACTTTCCAAGTCAGTGCTGCATCTCAAAGACGCTTTTAAAGTTAGTCAGGTTAGGTGAACTTGCAGAGTTCTGATTACACTCCACAAAAAGAAACATTGTTTGTTATATCATATATTTATTAAAAGTTAGAAAAAAATAACAATAACCAAAAAAAATTGTCATTTTCAATTCATCGCATGAAACAACCGTCCATACACGTGCCCATGTCGTTGTTTGGACTTTTGTCAATTTAACTGGCCACTTATTTTGTATATCCTCATACAATTTTAACGTTAAACCATTTGTTTGTTTTACTTTATGCGCACGTAAGGCAAATGAATATTCTTCTGTGATAAACATATTATAGATAAAGTAAATGTCATCACTGGCATTAGATATAATGTAACAAATTTCACCAAATTTTGGATTTTCATCTAATTTTGTAGTACCAGCAACTGTGTGTTGTTGATATTCAATACTGTTTAATCTGATGAATTTATAAACAGCTTTTGGAACAAATGGTAACGGATTATTTGTATTAACTAAATTAAATTTTAAGACAATATCATTTGATGTTTCACCAGCTAATACATATTTAAATGGATGACCAAGAACATTTTCGCATAAAGAACCGTCACTGTTGTGATCAACCAAACATGTCCAAAACGCATGTCTCCTTAAAAGACAAAAATGTTAGTGTTGCATACTGTATAGAAGAAAATATAGTCGACTAACCTTGATAATGTTACCTCAGGATTTAAAAAATTACGTATCTTGTTGCCTTTAAAAAACTGATGTTTTCTTTCGAGGCCAAAACAATTTGTATAACTGTAACAATGAAAAGAAGTAAAAATGCTTTCAAAAGAACTGCTCATTTTTTAAAGGAAAATATCTGTCAGAACATGTACTAGTAAGCACGGTAGTCGTCGCGATTGTTTTAAGTGGATAGTCCCCTCGTAAAGAAAAATTTCTCCAGTAATTACTTACCGCAAAGGGCCAAACAAGAACATTTGAAATGGTAAATATTTCATAAAATGAAATTTTGGTTTAATTTTTCCTGGGTATAATTTTCGAAACTCAACATTGTGGAAACGAATTAATTTTACTAATGTTGTATGTGTATTCGATTGAATATCTGTAGCAAAGCATAAGTTTACAATGTCCACCAGTGATAATATTGCGGTATACGCATCGAATTGTGAATTTCGTAATAATTTGTGTAAAATAAAGGGTAAATTTACCAATAAATTCAACGTTTGTGCAGATGTTAGTGGTACATCATCACGTTTACTAAACGCCGTAGTATGCATGTCCATATGTGGTTTTGATTGCTTTTCATGGTTATCATATTGCAGATTATTAACTACATCACAGAACTGCTCGATTGTAAACCGGTTTTGTATAATACATTATTCAATAAATAAATACACTTTACACACGCCCTCCAACAAAATATGCATTGGATCGAATAAGAGTTGTATCATAACATTGAATTATTGTAATTTATCGAATCGTGAACGACTATTAATGCCAAATCGTTTTGATAAATCGTTAAACGCGTGTTGATAATGTTCATTACCTTGTAACAAAGCAACCTCCTTCGATATTCATCGATAGTAATACAATTTAAGGGTAAATCAATGTCCGGTTCGAGTCCATCGAGTGTAACGTTACAAAGTGGACAAAAGTGCTAAAAAAGCAAGTTATGGTTATGCATTTATCAAATAGAATAAATCAGATGAAGAACTACTTTTGCAGAAACGCTTTCCTTGAAACCATGCATGCTTGTTTGAGCAAGATAATCTCCAATGGTAAAAAACAGTCCACCAAAATAACGTTGATCAGTTCCATCTACAGTTACTTGTATACCTACATCAGAAAAAAATACAGGTAGAGTTTGTTTATTTACCGTCATTTCTTACCCTCTTTTTCTAATGTTTGTATTCCACTTAAAAAATCGTCTATTGTATGATATAAACCATCATAGTCGGATAGCCAAGACGGACAACAAGCCACTAAACGTTTAGCAGTTTGTTTTGAACGAACTTCTCTAGATAAATTTAATAACGACCAATAATAAAGGAGCATTTTGTATGATCTATGACTGACTGGATTGCTAAGATTGATGTCATCGCTATTCAATTCAATTTTTAAATATTTTTGATGTTTATAATATGGATGTTGTCGGGAAAATTCTCCATCATGATAGTCTTGTATTAAGTTTGGATTTGGTGGTACAATTTGTTTATTCAAATCATGCTGCACTTTGCGTAATTGTAAAAAATTTTTTAAATTCATCAAAAATGGAATGTACGTGAATCGAACGGTTACTTCTTTTACTATATTATCGTGCTGTTGTTTTCGAACCTAAACCAGAGAAAGAAAGCATGAATAGTTCATGATGATACTAAGTTTAAGCGAAAACAATTACGGTGTATTTTCTGTTTTCTGGTGCTAAATATTGAAAATATTGCTTGGCTTTTTTTATTCTGCTGTACGAATTTGACAATCTCAGTGTTGCCACAGATACATTTCGTAAATGCTTAAAAAAAGAGTTTTCCAACCAGTTCGAGAAGCCCAGATTCCACTTACAACTCGAGTTATATGTGCTACATCAAAAATTTTCGATAATGATTCGGCCACATAATTAACACATGTATCCGAAACATAATGAGTTACTTGTAATGCTATTAACATATAAATTATTTGTTTTTCTAGTTTTTGTAGTGAATCATTGTGTGTTGGATGAGAGTGACCTATAATCAAATTCAGAGCATAGATCTGACACCTCGTATACCGAAAAAGAAGTATACCTCCAATGGCTTCGCCAAAAAATGTCATTTCATCATTCATTAAACCAGCTGTTGGAATTGCTCGTTGGGGTGCATTTTCTTCTAATTCATCTACCTTATCAATCACATGATAACGATACCAGTGTTGGCGGAAACTATGCAAAGTTTTTAAACGTTGATTACATTCACCACTTGATTGCACTATTTTTGTCAAAACCATGAGCAATCGTAAAATGTTCCACGTGTTTTGTCATACATTTGTTATCAATATTACAAATATCACACCTCCACTTAGCCATATAGACCTGTATCAATAAACACAAAAAGAAAACAGTCAAGCGGTGGTCTTATCCCTTCTAGCCAAGCAAGCATCCATGCATATTTTACACAGGATTTCAGTTTACTTTCGCAAGAAAACGCATAATTCGTGTTCTACAGTTGATGATACACTACGATAATCGTGTTCATTTCTAATATATTGTGCATTTGATGATGATGAACCCATATCTGCAAATAATTTTGCATTTTCAGCATGACGACGAGCACCCAAAATAATTGATGAGTTTGTTACGCGAGGCTTATATGATGCTGTTAATTTTGATGAACTTTCATTTTCTTTATTTTCATTCATATTTTCGATAATTGAACGATCTAAATACACAGGAAAATTTTTTTATTAAATATAATAAGTTTCTTCGGTTCAATCAGGCTACCAGCATTTGTTTCAATCTGGGTATCATTGACCCCGAAATTCATTGAATAGAAAGATTGTAATTCACTTTCACTTAATAATGGATGAGACACAGAAGCATTTAGTGATAGAATAACTCGATCATCTTGAATAACAGGATTTTCTAAACAATTTGTTGTAATAGTCGACTCTGTCTGTTCAGTTGTCGCTTTCTCTTCTTTAGCAACTTTTCGTTTAGCTTTTTTTCTACTTAGTTTATGTTTTTGATTTGCTTTGCCTTGGGCAGATCTCTCATATCGACAATTGCGAATTCGCTGTGACAAATTTTTACTAAACACAGCCTTCAAGAAAAACAGTTCATGTAAAATAAATTGTTTGCAAGAAAAAAATCAGTTATAAAAAAAATAAAATTAGTTAAAACTATTCGGGAATGTTTTTTACCAAAGGAAATTGACTTTCTTTTAAACCCGTTGGCGTCACTAAAGGATATTCGTTGAATATCGATGAACAATAATTTCTTAAATCACAAACCCCTTTGGCATCTGGAAATTTGTCTAGAAAAAATTTAGTTGTTATGGGACAGAAACTGTGGTTTGACCAAATCGTAACCACCTAAAAACAACAATAATGAATTAATAATCTTACGCAATCTCTGTTACTTACCAACTGTTTGTAATAACTGAACCATAGGTGGAGGATATTTCGGTATATCACACGGAAAAGTAATATGTTTCTAAACAAAAAAACTATGAAAGTAAATGATAGACCGTAATCACACAACTACCTTTTGCTTTGTTGACGAGGCTATTTCACGTGCTTTTTCTTTTGGGTTCAAACAAAAATCATGATGTGCATATCCTGGTTTTCTCTCAACATCACTGCTGCGATGTTCAACTAAATTTACTAGACCATCTTCTCCTAAATAAGCAACTCTATAAAAGAAACCTAGCAGAGAGTTTTATCAGATGTACCTTCAGGTGAAATTTCCAATTTATTATCTTCCGCTACACGCATTTCTACTAAATCTTTTCCTTCTATTTGTTCAACACTTTCAAATGTAGAATATTTTCCATTATCTTCACGATATTCCAACATTTTTCCTTCTGATCCCTCAATTTTTTCGTTTATTTTCGTTATGATCTCTTTATAATCGACTTTCTTAATCACAATAAGATGTCTACCAAAACAAACTTTCATCTGTAATCAAAAAGCAGTATGCAATCTTTACTCAACGCTACTAAAAAAAATTTATCGATGAATATATTTGCATAATTTTTCCGTGTTTGAGGAAGTCGGAGTCCACGTTGACCTTTTAAAGGCGTACGGTCTCAGATAGAAAGATAATAACAGATTCTTTTCAGGCACTACAATGCAAAAAGAACAGCAGATGTATCGATCTTCTTTTTATTATTATAAACAACAAGAGAAACAGGACAACAATTGAAATCACTTTCTCAGATGTTGTTCACCTTTTGTACGTTAATATGGATTGTGTACAAGATACGCACGAGCATCACATTGTGCGGCAGCGCACATTGCATAATTTTCTCTATCAGTCAGTTTCTAGATAACAGAAAAAATTAAGAATAGCAATACAATATTGTTATGTCTTTTCTTATCTCAAACATACAAGTTTCGCCTGAATCTTTCCACGTAAAACATGGATTTGTTTAATGAGATCTTCATTAACTGGATTATCATAATTGAGATCCCATACTAAAAGTAAAATGCAAGTAAAGTAGAACATAGTTCGGTGTTTGTTTTCATATTATTTGCCTATCAACAGATATGGTGTTGAATAAATTTTAATTTTTTTTAATTTATTTTTTATACCAGTTTTCAATGCTAGTATAACAGCCTATTACGTAAAAACAAGAACGTACAAAGACAAAAAGTCTGAAAGATAGCTTACATGAAGTTCACCGCGCTGATTTGTTACTTTGCCATCTTGAATTACACGTCGTTCATGGCTACGATAGCAAAAATAGATCGCACACTGCTTTTAGAACAAAAATTACATGTCTTACCATGTACAATGACCAACAACTGAGACAACAATACTACAACGACATGTTGCTGTTCCGTTGCGAACACATGATACGCAGTGAAAACATCTGCGCTCCTTGGACTTTGGTCACGCGATCGACAGCAATAATACAAACGACACAACATAAAACATGTACTGAAAGCTAATGAAACAAATAATATGTCGATCATCTATAACCAAAGCGAGGAGCGTTAACAATGATAGTTCACATCAACGTGGACATTCAACTTTACTCTAGACTGTGACATGGTCACGGCTGATTTTTTGAGAATATTCGTTGAGCATTTTCTGAACAAAAACCATGGACTTGGTTTTCCAGCGGTCAGGTTTTCCAGAAACCCTATTATCAACTGTTCTCATGAAATGTCAATATGCGCCTCATTTGATAGAAAAAGCTTCAGCCTATTCAAAACAGTATTGAGATTGGCTTCAGCGTTTACTAAAAGATCTAAAACAAAGGAGTTCTTGTGATTATCATACACTGTACTGCATAGATAACACCCAAAAGCTTCTTTTCCATATCTTTAATGACTGGCTCCACCTGTCTGGATATTCTGACCCGCTCACGTTGTAGAGAATTTCACGGGCTATCTAACGCTGTGTTTAGTTTGCCATTTCAGTGTATGGTAGTTGAGGAAAATCTGTTGTACTGATCATATGGTGGCTTTTTAACGGTGCTTATTGAGATGCTATTGTTCAGGAATTAACCGGGTTTTACGTGACAAAA